GAATTGCTGCTGCCTCTTCTGATTCTAAATTAAATGCTCTTGTTTAGTTTGCGAAAAGTTTTCCCAAAAAGTGATACAGTACTCATCACATCGAATCTTACGATACGTGCATGAAGCATTAAATGTAGACGAAAAAAACTAATTGCACAGTTTGGTTGGAAAATGCGAGACGAACATTTTGAGCCTAATTAGTCTATGATTGAACATTAATTGTCAAATAAAAATGAAAATGCTACAGTAGCTAACTTTCCAACTTTCTGCGAACTAAACAAGGGCATTGTTGAATTCAACTTTGCTACTCAAATAGTGTTTTATCCGTACGTTGTGGCGAGGAAAATAGGAAAGGGCGCGCGTTGCTGTCTTTGGCCAGAATTCTGGGCTCCCGTCACGGCCACGGCTGGCTGGCTGGCCGGCCGCCGGTCAACGTCGCTGTCGCTAGCAGCCTAGCACAAAACGTCAAACGTGTGACATCGCCCGATGAGGCAGAGGTGGATGCAGACTCTCCGTATGTCGTGTACGCTGGTCGCCGCATCATGGAGAAGTGCAGGCTCAGGCTGTATCATCAACTGAACACGAGGGCAGAGAGGTGTTAGGACGTGTTTTGGTTCGCAGCTAGAATTCACCGCCCCGCGCCAATGGTTCTGCGTCACGTGTTTGTTTAGCTGCCGAAGGTTTGGTGCTGCGAGCGCTCGCCATGCATACGCAGTTCATTTTGCCGCCACGGGCTTGCAAAATGTGTGGTGGACGAATAGTCCGCGCCAGACCGCGTCTACAGCGTGGCGTGCGAGGCGGGCACTAAACATGCCCTAATCGTAGCGGGAACCACCTTTTTCAACAAGACACGTATCTTTTTTTCAAAGAGAAGATGATTAATGTATTAGAGATGAAATCATGTTACACCACTACTACACATATAATTGTTACAGTCGGCTTCCATTTTCTAGGGACGATTCATATAATAAGCTGTCTTTAGAAATATCATGTTGCACTGTAGCTTCTAAACATATCATACCTAGTATAAAAAACAAAACATAGTATGAATTATTTGTGTGTTAGGATTAGTTTACACACATAATGACGTCATCAGTGACTAACAGAAACTATATTAGTATATTGATCCTAAAGGTATTGTTAAATTAAATAAAGTAAATCGTGTAGGTCATCATTAACCTATATAAATGTAAACTATCATGTGAGGGTACGTCTAGAGCACTTCTAACCGTGAGCACAATTGATATACTTAGTTTGGCCGTCTACAGAGATTGCATACTTTTACTATAAGTCGTGATTCTATTTTAATTAATCTAATGATATCCATTGATATAAAAAAATATTAGTATTTTTTATATGAACGTGATCATAGTTTTTTCGGAACGACTAGCGCCCGGATGTGCGACGTGAGGATTCGTCCAGATGCCCACGGAGCCCCGCCTACTGCGCCCGCCTCGCCTGCCCCGCCTTTTCCAAAAAAAAGCTTGCCCCGCCCACCCTGCATGCAACTCTGCGTCTGCACTTCTTGCATGCAACTGTTGTGCCTGCAAACCCGCCCATGCATGCTAGTGTGCCTACGCATGCAGTTGTGCGCCTCGTGCCTGCTGATGCCTGCCTCGTGCCTGATGATGCGCATGGAGGTGGGGACCGCTATGCACGTGGGGACCACATCTCCATGCACCCGCTTCATACGCCTGCTAATGTTGCAACATGAAAGCACTTCCACAACATACGTTTGAAACAGATGAAATATTTACAAACATACGCTTGCAACATATGTGTATAACAACTACAACATCCAGATAAACACATTTGCAACATGCATCTAAAACAGATAAAACATTTTTAATAGACGTTTGCAACATATGTCTGAAACATAAGCAACATTGCAACATATGCAACATCATCCAGATGAAAACACTTGCAACATAGGTCTGAAACAGCTAAAACATTTGGAACATACACTTGCAACAGACATGTATAGCCACTGTAACATATGCAATATCTAGATAAAACACTTGCAACATACGTTTGAAACAGCTAAAATATTTGAAACATACACTTGCAACATACGTGTAGAGCCATTGCAACATATGCAACATCATATCTACTTTTGCAACATCCAGATAAAATATATGCAACATACATCTGAAATGCATGAAATATACGGTTGCAACATGTACTCATCTATTTGCTACCGTCCAATGGAGGCTAGTTGACGTGGCGCTAGGGAGCGCAGTGCGAGCAGCGAGTGGCGCACGGCATGAGACATGAGGCACACGAGGTGGGTCTAGTGCGACCGTGCGAGGCGCGAGTTTTTTAAGGAAAGTGTGAATCGCGAGGTGCAAGGGCACAAAGCGTGAGGCGCAGGGGCGCACGCGAGGCGGGTCCATCCCGTCAGGACGAACAGACGTCCTGATAGGAGCATTACCGTAGTTTTTTAATAAACTCAAAGTGATCCAAGTTACTCTAAAATATAAAAGTAATCAAAGTTAAAATTGCTTGACTCCTGTTGCACTTCTTTCAAGATAGAGGCAGAGCAGTATAGACTATGGTCATGCTACTGTGCAAGCTCATACTAGGTTCGTACCCGACAAAACATGTCGTGACATGGCATGGGGGTGACCGGTCAACGCTGCACTCTTCTTCCCTTCACGTCCCAAGCTGCTTTCCCACTTGCTTCCTCTTTTCCCGGTCTCCCCGGAGCAAGGCCGACGCTTCGCCGCTAAGGCTTATCATGACACATTGGGTCCAAATGTTCCAAGAAGGAATCATGGGCCACCATCATTCACCGGCTCGACTCCACACTGGGCTAGCCTACGTCGTATCGTACCTACTCGTATTTATCACAACAACAACCAAGGGCGTGTTTGGAGCGTTGCCTGAAGGTAGCCAGGCCCGTAGGCCAGGCCTAGACCAGCCATAGACTGGCTGACCCGGTGCAAGGCCCCTTGTTTGGTGGCCTATACCAAACTGACCGGGCTCAAAGAAGATTGTGTTTGATTCCACAGCTGGAAGCCAGGCCCAAGGCCAACTACCACCTACTGCCATTCCCAGATCTTGTTTGATCCCCAGCCAAGCCAGCAACCATGGAGAGCAGCCAACAGAAATCAATAGATAGGAGATAGAAAACAGTAATGCAACATCACATAACCAACATGCCTCAGACTAATTAGGTAAACAAGCATGGAGTCATAGCTGCTCTAACTTTACAAAAGTACCAATGAAGCAAGGCAAAATAACAACATCAGTAGCCTAATCAGTAATCAGCAGTCCTTAAACAACACAAAGGAGATAGGTAACAGAAATGGAAGACATAGCAGCAGCTCGTCCATCATGTAGTTGTAGTCATCATAGGCCTAAGAGGGGTAGTCATAGCTGCCAATTTTGCCCCCCTTCATCCATAGTCCAACCACCAAGATAATAAGTGAGGTGATTAACACCTTCTTCCACCAACTAGCCTTACCATTACCATCAGAATGAGTAATGATTGGAGCAAAAGCATCACGAGGGATAGGATCATAGGGAAGGGGAGGTGCTGCCCCATGAGATGGATGGACATCTCTCATGGCTGTCTGATAATCTCTAACAGCCTGCTCATAGTTGCTATACTTCATGTATATAGCATTTCTCACCCCAAGAATATGCTTACTGCACTCCTGCCAACTCAGGTAAATCCTAGGAGCCTTCCCATTGAAAACAACATAGTACGCTGCCATTTCTGAGAAATGAAGCAGTGGTTTAGCCTTAGTCAAATGTAAAGCGTGAAACTAGTCATGAGTGTGGAACTTGAAGATCTACGATTTGCGGTGAAACAAATCATTGATCTTAAGTCCCCCACTGATGACCAGCATCATCAATTTCATATGTAAGAGAATTGACATCACAGGCATTGTAATAAAAAGGTTGGCCTTAGCTTTAGAATGTGGTGGTGTTCTTTCAGTTCAAATCATTGGTGGCTGTCATAGAAAATAAAAATCAGTAGTGCAGCAAATCCAAGCTCATGGTTGCCATGGAATCCATGTGCACATCCACACACTGCCATCAACACAAGAAAGAAGGGGCTGTTGCTAGGGTATGGATGTGTCACATGGATGTGATGACATACATGACAAATCAGAATAATCAAGTAAATAGGGCAGGCACCAAACAAGTGCAAATCTAGGGTCATGACTGCCATCAAACCCTATTGTGCACATCCATTCGCTGCCATCAGCATAAGATGCAAGTTGTTGTTGATAAGTGAATGGATGGGCACACATAGGGTTCCATGGCAGTGATGAAAAACATGAAGAACCAATTAAACAAGGCTGCCACCTCAAGAATATGTTGTTTACATCATAGGCCTTATAAATTTCCCACAGTTACCACCAATCAAAAGAAACAAAACCAACAGGTCATAAGTAACAGACATAAGCTTTGGCCATGGGACACAGCCATGCAACAGCAGCAGCATCATTCATCTATGCTGCTACCACTGTATGGCTGAGTTTCATGGCCAAAGACATGGTAGTAGTGACAGATGATGTAGTAAATGGAGCCAAAAGAATAGAATCCAACAGAAATAAAAGAAACCATGAACAGTACCAAATAGAGCAGGCAACAGAGGCCACTAATAATGCATTATAGATACCAATACAGCCTCACACTTGTAGGCTCAAATAAGGTCCATCTTGCCTAATGTTACCTATAGTCAGCCACCCTCCAACTACACTAACCCAAAAGGACCATTGTGATCAGCCAACTAAGCTGCATAAAAGCTACACCTAGGTGTGTACAAAAGGTAAGAGAGTGGGTGAGGGAGGTGGAGGAACTATACATCTCAACAGTCAACCCCCTCTTTGCCTTGCTATCCTAATTGGATAGAACTACATATAGTAGTTCTTGGCAAGGTAGTTCCTCATCCAAATATCCCTATGGCTGATTGCCATCTTCACAAAGCCTATGGCAATGGCCTAGTTTTCTAGTTGGTAGGTGTAGGCAACAATGAGGGCTTTAGTGGTGAAGCCCTACATCTCCATGACTGCAAGATAGAGGTCAGGATCTACATGTGCAGCACCTGTCTCCCTAAGTGCATTGGCAACATTATTGACAACATCAGACATGTTGGTCAGCAAGAGCATCTCATCCTTAGTGAAGTTCCCTCTCTTCCTCCTCCCACCCACAGTAGAATGTAGCTGCTCTATGGCCTTGCTGCCCTCACCAACCTCAATGTTGGTCTTCTCCTTAGGGACATGGTGGAAGGCAGAGCCCTCAACCTTAGCAGCTATACTATCAGTCTGGTTGACCCCAAGGGCCTCACTAGAACCAAGTGCATACCTACTAGTGGACATAGAATGCCCAAATATGGCCTCCATCTTAGAGTAGAACCTTATAGGACAGTTAAGGAACTCTACATCCTTAGGGTAGTCATGCAGTAGGGGATACAATTGCAGATGAGGTAAGATAGGTAAGACATAGTGGCATGGTGAAAGCTCTAGTTTGGTTTTGGTGAATTGATGAAACCCTAAGTGCTAACCTAGTTTATCAAGTGAACATAAGATAGGTAGCACATTCCAAGTAGTGAAGCAAATGAAGATCATGACATGATGATGGTGATGCCATGGTGATGATCAAGTGCTTGGACTTGAAAATAAGAAAGAGAAAAATAAAAGGCTCAAGGCAAAGATATAAGTGGTAGGAGCCATTTTGTTTTGGTGATCAAAACACTTAGCGAGTGTGATCACATTTAGGTTCGATAGCTGTACTATTAAGAGGGGTTAAACTCGTATCGAAATGCGGTTATCAAAGTGCCACTAGATGCTCTAACTCATTGCATAGGCATTTAGGATCTAGTGGAGTGCTAACACCCTTGAAAATGTTTGTGAAAATATGCTAACACACATGCACAAAGGTGATACACATTGTGTTTAACACTTGAGGAGCAAGGGTAAGAAACTTCACTGGTGGAGTGTCTGCCCGTAGAGTGCGGACAGTCCGACAGTGCCACTGGCGCCCTGTACAGAAAAGACAGGGTTTCACAGAGTGCACCAGACGCTGGTCTCAACTAGACCGGAGCATCCGGTCAGTGGAAGCAATGAAGTCGCTGGCGTCGGTCTTCGACCATATACTAGGTCACTTCATGATCGGACGCTGGCGGGGTGCGTCCGGTCCTGCTGATGTGGTAGCGCATAGTGGAGACAGTGAGTGACTGGACGCTGGGTGAGTCTGGTAGGGCATGGCTGGACACATCCGGTCGAGAGAGGAGGCTTACTAGAAGTGACCGGACGCTGGGGTCCTACGTCCGGTCATGATCAAACTGACGTGTCCGGTCGCAGCTAGAACCTTACTTGAAGTGATCGGATGCTGGGGTCCTACGTCCGGTCGTGGCACTATGCTGCGTCCGGTCATCACTTGACCGTTTGGATCGGGCACTCAGTATTTGAAGAGAGGGATGATGTGGTAGCCATCCATTGACTGTGTCGACGAAATATGGTCGGCAGTCTACCTAGGGGTATGCCCAAGGTAGTAGATTGTCGGCAGACAGATGCGCAAGCCACAAACAAGACGGTGACGCAAGACTGACACGAGGTTTTATCCAGGTTCGGCCGCCAAGAAGGCGTAATACCTACGTCCTGCGTCTGATTGTATTGCTGTATGTTAATGAGAGATGTTTTTTAGAGGGATCCCCTGCCCGCCTTATACAGTCCGGGGGGCAGGGTTACAGATCTGGAAACTAATCCTAGCCAGTTACAATTGCCATATGTGGCCGGATAAGGATTCCTATTCTAACCGACCAGGATCCTGCTTGATCGCCAAATCCGCTTTAACTCCTTGCGCAGGACTCCAACCAGGTTGGCTGGGCCGCGCGTCGTCTTTCGGATGGACCGGACCCATCGATCCGGGCCGGCCCAAGCTTAGCCGTAAGGGTATAGGGGTTAATACCCCCACAGCTAGTCCCCGAGCACCATGTATTATGCTGCGACACGCCATTTCGACGTTCTCCGACAAGTTACGCCCGAGTCCTTGACATCTTCCGACCACCGTCGTCGCCGGAGAAATAGGTTGTCCGAAGAATGTATGGTGCTCTTAAGAAAAAAGAAAAAGATTTCTGTCCCGGGAAGTGTGCCCACTTGTATTTCTGAAAAGAAATGTAAGTGCGTCTTGAAGCGTAGCATCTTTGATCATCAGAGGCGTAGTGGTCGAAAAACAAACACATTCACCGCAAGGTGAAGTGTGCCCACTTAGTCCCCGAGCCTGGTAGTAGGTGAAGTAAGCACGTGGTGCCAGGGTCTAAAAAGAATTCCCAATTAAGTTGAGAACTCAATCGTCGTATAGGCGATACGAGATGCACCGGCAGGTGCATCGTACCGATGTAGTCCCCGAGCTTGCTGGAAGGCGAAGTATGAGCCTTGTAGTAAGGTCTAAATAAATGCCTCTCAACTGTATGTGAGTACAAATCACATGTAGCCGAGGAGAACAATTCTTCGATCAGTGGTCGGGATATCCCCCGAGCACACTAGTTGTCGGAGCAGTCTCCGAGCACGATAGTGGTCGTAGTAGTCCCCGAGCATGTTAGTGGTCGGAGCAGTCCCCGAGCACTTCAGTGGTCTGGGCAGTCCCCGAGCACAGTAGTGGTCTGGGCAATCCCCGAGCACAGCAGTGGTATGGGCAGTCCCTGATCCATCCTTAGCGCGAAACGGGCATCTAAAATGCGAATGCCATTGATGTATTTATTTAGTGTATTTATTTATCTCTATTCTCTGCCAAGTCCAGTCTGACATGCCTGGTCAAAAAAGCAAATGGGTATAGTACGTCATTCTGTCTTCTTACTACTTTTTTACGGCAAGCGATAAACGCTTTTTTTTGTATGGGAGGCGTCGGTGTGGGCCCTCTTACACTATTAATGAAGAGGCGCGTACATTGGTAGCGAAGGTAGCGTTTATTGGTGTAGATCTCGAGGTTGTGTGAACAACCGTCTCTGCAGCCAGCGCACATCTCCCAATAATCTCGAGGCGAAGGACGAAAACGACGGAGCTCTTTGTTTTATATAATGTAGATCTACGGTAAGTTACTCACACCGTTCCCCATTGTGTCATTCGCGCGCAACCCTCTTCTTCCTCCCGCCAAACCCTATTCTTCCGAAAATCATTGCCAATCCCTTGCCACCGCATCCACCCCTTAGTAAGAGACGGACTAATGGCGAAAGAGAGCGCCCGAGAAGAAAGGTGGGGTCATGGCGAAGGAATGGTGGAAGTCGCGGAGCAATGAGCGGAACCATCGAGGACCTCGTCGCCATGGGAGTGCTCCACAACAAGGCACTTTCATGGGATGGCGTGCCGGAAGGAGAAAGCTTCCCGATCCACAACCGGTGAGATTGTGGTTTCGAAGACTTCTTCAAATGGGTTTTTGGATTCGGTGCACCCTTTCCTTGTGGTCTCTGCTTGTACTATGAGATTGGTATATGCAATCTGCATCCCAATTCGATTCTCCTTATCTCCACCTTCATTCATCTCTGCTGAGTCTTATGGTGGCTTCCAGCCCCATTTCGACCTCTTTCACCACATTACATCTTTGGAAGAAAGGGGGCGGTGGCTCGAAGATAGCCCAGAGGCACCTACACGAATCTGCTGGCGATGGCATGAAAGCACAATACTTACCCGCCTGGAACACCTCATTTGGATGAGTGGTACAAGAAGTGGTTCTACATCCGTGAAGAGCCGAACACCATCACCTGTGTGACGTGAGACCTGATTCTAGAGAAGAAGAATAGTTGGATGAAAAGCCGAGAACACGGAGGCGGATCGCCGAATCGCTCGGGATGATCCGTGGGGAAAGCTAGATAGCCCAAGTGTGGTCGGGAACTTCATCGCCCAAGGATCCAGCCACGCCAAAAGAGGGTTCATCCGGGCTTCGAGTACCGAGGAAGCGCCGATCCGACAAGGACCGGAAGGAGCCGCTCGACAAGACGGAAATCAAAAGCGAGGATTGGGGAGCTATTCAACTGGCCGATCCCAATTACGCCAGTGAACGACATCGAGCACGCCTTCAAACCGGCCCGACCTCCCCAAAGGTAATTGATGCCTCCTTTTAGCTCGTAGAGTCATGTTGTAACAAGAAATTTTGTTGCCCCGCTTTGTGTCGCAGATGGAATGGTCGTGACCGGGCAGCGATGTTCGTGTCGCCTCCCGGTGTAGATTGGGCGCAAGTTGCCGACCCAGCCTTGACCGGCGCCGGGACCGATGGCGTCCACTACGAGGCTTTCGAGACCGTGGAGGATGCACCGACCGAGCCGGCAAGCGTCCGGCGGCCGACAAGCGGCGTAAGCTATCTTCCCCGCCGGACGACGAAGCGAGAGGATGCGGACATCTTCCGGCTCATCTCTCGAAAGAGGAGAAGACAAATGGGGTCTTGGGCGGGGTGGCTCGCCGTGCCAGCGGTGGTCGTATCACCGACCAACGCAACACGAAGTACAAGCGAGGGAAACATCGGGCATCAAACCCCGGCCTTTGTCTCGGAGGTGGAAAAAGACCGGTGGAGCTCTGCGAGAACGCCTTGAGCGAGGGGACGGTCAAGGCGACGCACCTTTGCCACATCATTCCACAAATCAAGTTGTAAGTATCTATATCTTTGATGTAAGCTTGTAATTTGCATTGGATACTACTATCTTCTGAAATTGTCTACGATATATTAGGTCGGCGTCCACCGAGAACCCCGACCGACTAGCGGGTCTTGGCACAACCGCCAATGACGGCGGAACAAAGCGCCAATGACCCGGTAGTGGAGGAGCCTGTAGTAGGAACTCCGCCTGGACCTCGAGCACGAACCCTGCTAAGGCGGATACCATGGCGCCAAGGGAGTCGGATCTAGCCGAGGAGCAGCAGCCAGAAGTGGCCCAGAGCATTCTGGCCGACGTGACGGCTCGTGGAAAAGCCCTGGTGGTTGTGGAGTCTGCAGACTCCAGACCAGCACCGCCTCCCGAATAGGAGGCTGAAGAGGAAGAAGTAGAAGAGGTCCTGGGCCGTCCCCAAGATAGGCGACAACATGTATATGTGTCGCGCTATCGGAACGACAGATGGGTTATGCACGAAGAAATCCCAGAGGTCAAAGAGACCCTAAGAGTCGAACGGGTGGCCAAGCGTCTGGTGATAGAAGTCCAGGTACATTTGGCTTGAATCCTTGACCCTGTTATGTAGTCGAATCGTATCGACTTAGCTTGTGCGTATGCGGGGACTGATGAAAACCGCAAAATACCGAAAGAGGTGCTTGACTAGATTGAAGGAATCATGGCGACCAATAAAGAAGCTGGTGGCGAAGTGGAACGCTTGCGGTGCCACCTTGAAACCGCCGACCGAGGAGAGGATAGATCGAGAAAAAC